TATACCACTTAGAAGAATGTTTGACAAAAACAAACCAGGCCTGAGGGCCACAGATTAAAATCACTCACCTCGGGCTTGGTGATTAACTTTCTGTCCACTAGGCCAACAGAGCTCTCTCGTTGTTGTTGTTGTTGTTATTGTTAATTGCCGTCGAGTCCTAGACAACTCATAGCGACGAAAGACCTGAACACTTGTACACTTTGGTCATTTCTCCATGTTCATGGAGTTTCCGGAGACAAGCCATTTTGGAAGTGGATGCCACTCCTGCTTCCAAGCTTGTTCCAATCCCAACCAACAAGCTTCTGTAGAACTCGGCTCCTGCAGATAGCTTTCAAAATGAATTTTATCTAAGAGGTAGCATAGTGTTTTATGTGTTGAATCCACCAGCCACACTGGTAGAGAAGGATGTGACAATTAACTCTTGTTAAAATTTATATCCTTGGAAACCTGATAGAAGGTTTTCATGAGTTATAACTGACTCCATGTTGTTGTTAGGTGTCTTCTAGTTGAGTACGACTCATAGTGAACCTATTAACAACAGATCTGAACCCTATCCTGTCTGTGTCATCCTCATCATCTCTAACACCCTTGAACCCACTACTGCAGTCACTGTGTCAATCCATCTCATTGAAGGTCTTCAAAGAAAGTCTCTCCTAATAACACCCCCAAAGTATGTGAGATGAAGCTTTTCCTTCCTTGCCTCCAGGGAACACTCTGGCTGCACTTTCCCCAAGACACATCCATTCTTTTGGCAGTCCATGGTATATTCAGTACTCTTCTCCAACACCACAGCTCAAAGGCATCAATTCCTCTGTCATAGTATTCATCGTCCAGCTCTCAGATGCATAGAAAGTGATTAAAAAAGACTGTGGCCTGAACCAGGAGCACCTTAGTCTTCAAACTGACATCATTGTTCTCAGTAATTTAGAGAGATCTCTGACTACAGATTTTCCCAATGCAACAAGTCTCCTGATCTCTTGACTGCTTGTATCAAGAGTGTTGATTGTGAATCCAAGTAAGATGAAATAATTGAGTTTCAATCTTTTCTCCATGGCAATCTCCAAACTGATTCTATAGGAGTGTTTTGTTTTCTTTTTTCAAACACTTCATTGTATTTTCTTTATTTGAGTAAAGGCTTATAATTCATTAGTTTTCCACACAATCATTTATAGAAATAGTTTTATATCACTAAGTACCATTGATTTATGTAATTCATGAACTAGAAGGCCTAATGAACCCATTATCCATTTATCCATTAGTTTTTGCTCTCCTCTCCCTCACTTCATTGCATTTTTTAAATTTTTTTTAAATTGTATCTCTCTCATGTATATTTCACCCTGTTCCCTCCTTCCTCCTTCCTCCTTCCCCACCCTCAGATCCACTGCTCTCTTTGTATATACATACACATCTCATTGTTGTCCTGTTTTTACAATAATTGTTGTGGACAGTATTTGTTCTTATGTGTCTGAGTTAGTTCACTCAGCATAATACCTTCTAGCCTCTCCCATGTTATGTTATTTTTCAAAATCGCTACTCCTGTGTGCTGCATAATATTCCATCGTGTAAATGTACCATAATTTCTCAATGCAGTCATCTGTTGATAGACATTTCAGCTGTTTCCATGTTGTTGCTATTGTGAATAATACTGCCATGAACATCAATGTTCAAGTCTTTGTTTGCATCTCAGTTCTGTTTTCCTTGGGATGTATCCATTGCAGTGGTATTGTTGAATCATATGGAATCTCTATATTCAGTTTTTTCTGAGGAAAGGCCAAACTGCCTTCCAGAGTGGTTGTACCCTTTTACAATCCCAATAACATTGTATGAGAGTTCTAATCTCTCCACATTTATTGCTTGCTGTCCTCTTAAACTTTGCCATTGCTCCTGGGATGAGATGGTATCTCGTAGTTTTGATTTGTATCTCTCTTATTGCCAATGATTTTGAGCATTTCTTCATGTGTCTATTGGCCATCAGATGTCTTCCTCTGTGAAAGGTCTTTCCATACCTTTTGCCTGTTTTGTAATTAGGTTATCAGATTTTTTTTCCCTTGTGGAAGTCCTGTAGTATTCTCTAAACTTCCATAGACCTTTGTCTGAGATGTCATTGCTGAATGTTTTTTCCCTAGTTAGTTGGTTTTCTTTTAACCCTATTGGAAAAGAGATTTTTAAAATTTTATTTTAGCCATTGTTGCACATTTTCTTCCTCCCCCTCCTCTAGCCTATCCCACAATGAACACCTTGTTTCAAATTGTTGTCCTACATATAATGCCTAATCATATATTCCTTTCAGATAGTTCTTCCCTCATCTGTTCTAATACAGTGTTCATTATCTATCCACTCTTTCCCCATTCTCTTTCCAATGCCCCCATGTCTGTCCTATTTTATAACAGCAGTGTTATGCAGTATTTCTCCTTTTATGACTGAGATATTTCACTCAACATAATGTCCTTCGGTCACACCCATGTTGTGTAATTATTTACGAGTTCATTGTTTTTCAATGCTACATAATATCTGTTGCGTAAATGTACCAGTTTTTCTATCCATTCATTTGTTGATAGGGACTTGGGTTGCTTCTGTCTCTTTGCTGTAATAACTAATGCAGCAATAAACATGGGTGTACATACATCTGTTTCAGTTATAGCTCCAGTTTCTTTAGGGCATATTCTCAGTAGTGGAATTGCTGGGTCTAACGATATTTCTGTTTCCAACTTTTGAGAAAGTGCCAGACCACCTTTCATAGTGGCTGTACCATTTTATATTCAGCAGTGAATTAGAGTTCCAATCACTCCACAATCTCACGAGTATTTGTTTACTGCCCTGCTGAACTTTGCTGTTGTTACCCAAGGGGTGAGATGATATCTCATAATTGTTTTGATTTGCATCTCACTGCTAGCTGGGGATTTAGCATATTTCTTCATGTGTTTGTTTACCATATGAATGCCTCTTTAGTGAAGTGTCTATTCACATACTGTTCCCATTTTGTGATTGAGTTGTTTAGCTTTTTCTTGTTGAGGTGCTGGAGTATTCTATAAATTTTAGGTATAAGTCCCTTCTCAGATATGTCATTGCCAGATTTTTCCCCCCAGTCTGTGAGTTTTCTTCTTACCCTGTTGGACAAGTTTTTTGATGTGCATAGGAATTTGATTCTTAGAAGCTCCCATTCGTCTATTTTGTTCTCTCCTTACTGTAGGGTTTTCATTATGCTTGGAAGACTGTTCATGCTGTGGATTAGGGCTTCTACAGTTCTTCTTAGATTTTCCCAGATGAATTTCATAGTCTTTGGTTTTACTTCTAGGTCCCTGATCCACCTTGGTTTTGTGTATGATGTGAGGTGTGCATTTTGCTTTTAAGTTTTCTACAGATGGTTTTCTAATTTTGCCAACATCATTTGTTAAAGAGATTGCCATTTTTCCACCTAATTAACTTCGTCTCCTTGTCAAAGATCAGTTGACCATACTTGGATGAGCAGATTTCAAGGTTTTCAGTTCTATTCCATTGATCTATGGGTCTGTCATTGTACCAATACCATGCTGTTTTGACCACCACGGCTGTGTAGTAGGATTTGAGATTAGGGGTGTGACACTTCTATCTTATTTCTCTTTTTCAGTAGTGTTTTGCTTATTTGGGGACTCTTTCCATTCCAGATAAAACTGGAAGTTGCCTTTTCCATCTCATTGAAGAATGGAATTGATATCTCTGTTGGGATGGCATTGAACTTGTAGATTGCCTTTGGTAGAATTACCATTGGAAAAGGTTTTTGGTACACACAGGGACTTACTCTTTAGAAGATCCCATTCATCGATGCTATCCTCTCCTGGTGGTGCACATAGCAGGCTTTTTGTTGTTGTTGTTTTCCTTTTGGTTTAAAGTTTTGTTAAAGGAGAGCTAGTGACACATTGGTTAAGCACTTTACTGTTTAACAGTTTGACAGCCCCTCCACAGGAGAGAGACATGACAGTCAACTTCTGTAAAGACTTATAGCCTTGGAAACTAGTGGACAGTTCTGCTCTGTGCTATGGAGTTATTGTCAAATCAGAACTGACTAGACAACAGTATGTTTGGATTATTTTGATTTAAGCTTTTGTTAAATTGGAAAAAATTGAGAATGGTTAAGGTTGATGATTGAACAACATGTCACTGAACTGTGTGTGAAATAGCAAATGTTTTGTTATTTGCTTATTAACCACTTTAAAAAAGGCAGGTGGGGAAGTGGAATAGATTTGTTGAGTGAAAGAAGCCAGAGACAGAAGCCTCATAGTATATGATTCAATTTATATGAAATTCCAGAAAAGGCAAAACTGTAGAGACAGAAATCAGATCAACAGTTGCCAGGGATATAAGGTGGGGCGGGCTGCATTGCAAAGAGACATGAGGGAAATTTGGAAAAAGATGGAAATATTCTGTATTTTTATGGTAGAGAGGTTATACAACTAAAACACAAATGTATATAACATACATATACATATTTGTTAAAACTCATTAAACTATACACTTAAGAATAGTAAATGTGATGTATGCAAATTAGATTTTTATTAACTTTCTTTTTAAAGTGAATGAAAAAAGGGAGTGATTCTTAAAAGGAATGGTGTTTCTTTTGAAGATGACTAAAATATTTTAGAAATAGTGGTGATATTTGCACAACATTGTAAATATATAGGGAACTCTGGTGGCCTAGTAGTAAGGAGCTGTGCCACCATGTCAAAGGCATGTGGTTTGAATCCACCAGCTGCCCTACAGGAAAAAGATAGGCTGTTTCCTCTCATGTGATTAAACTGTCTCTGAAAACCTGCGAAGGTCAACTATGAGTTGGTTCTGACTCAATGGTACATAACAATCACAAAAAAATGCAATTGCACATTTAAAATTCTTTTTGTTATGTGAATTTTGTCTTGATAGTTAAAATTGCCAAAAAAAAAGTGAATGAAAACAGAAGCTGCAACAGGACCCAGTGGTCCTTGACTCTCCAATGTCAACCCCACCAGAATTCAAGGCTCTCTTACCTGGTGTTTTGCCAGGATAGCCTATATAGAAGGCCGGGTCCAGAGCTGGCACCAATAACACGTCTATGCCGAGGGATCTCCACCTGGCTATGAACTCTTGCTGATATTCCTGAAGAGGCAGTGGGGAGAAGGGCAGGACCACTTGGGGTTACTATTCCCAAAGTCAGGTGCTGCTAAGCAAAACCAGGTAGACCTCAGGAAGGATTCCCAAGCTATAATATTCTTGCCAAAATATCTGGAGAGGGGCAGAATCTAGGCACTAAAGAGACAGATGGGAAGTGGAGTTTCAGGCTGCAGTGATTTGGGGACAGTGTATCCAGACCCCAGGGAGATGGAGACTCTCTCTCTCTCTCTTCCCCCACCCCCTCTGTCTCTCTCCAGGTCCAGCTGGGCAGATCCTGAAGGTGGTATCGTTCTACCCACTCCTTTTCTGGCCACCCTTCACACCTGGTTTCTCACATCCCTTCTCCAGCCTCAAGGCCTCCCCAAGCACAGTTACCTCCGCTTCTGTATGCTGCTGCCATAGGTTCTTGGGTGTCCTAAAGGAATGAGGAAGAAAGTGAGAAGTCAGCAGAAGATCCTTTTTTTATACAAATGGGAAAATGGCATCAAGAGGCTTGGGTCTGGCCTCAGTGCATGTTACATACAAATCCCTGGCAGACTGAGAGCAGGCCTGTGTCTTGTCCTCAGGGCTAGGACTTCATCTGGTCAAACACCTTATACAATCAGTCACAGGAGTGACTGTGACTATAACCTGTGAGGCCCCAGGATAGTGCTCAGACCCAACAATAAATTTAACTGAATCTCGACTTCTATTCTAGCCTCTACCCCATTTTCTGGGGTTGCTATGAGCTGGGATTGACTGCCTGGCAGTCTGTTTTGTTTTGTTTTGTTTTGTTTTGTTTTAACGTCACTTAATGTTTTGCTGGCGTAATCCATAACTTGTGCTGCTTGCTCACCAAAAGACTCAGAGTCTTTGGCTGTTCAAATCCTCTCATGGCTCTAGAGGAAAAAGACAGGCCGTCTCTTCCCATTGAGATGTACAGCCTTGAAAACCCAAGGAGAGTCACTAAGCGTCAGAACCACGTCAATGGCAGTGTGTGAACCTGAATTCTGTCTATTCTCACTTAACTCCAAATCCATCTCTAGTCCCAACCCAGCCCCATTCCTAACCCCAATCAAAAATCGCCATTTATCCCTAGTGTCAGACATAATCCTAAAACCCTGATTGTTGTTGTGTACCATTGAGTCAGAACCGACACAGAGCTGGTTCTGCATTGGGTTTTCAGAGACAATAAATCGCACAGGAGGAGATTCTCATCCTTCTCTCTCAAAACCCAAATTAGATGTTAAAGTTGAAATCGCCCCGCTCTGTGAACACCAGCTCTAACCCCTGTGTCCCCCACTCAACTCTCATCTTCTTACAGAAAACCTTTGTGGATAAGGATTGGACCTGAGGAGACTTGGCCACTTACCCCACTCCACTAAACGCTTTTAAATCCTGGCTAACTCGGGGATCCTAGAAGCAAAACAGGAAGGGGAGATCAGTTTCAGAAACCACAAGGAAACAGTCAGTCTGCAGGAGAAGAATGCTTCTCAGGCACCCCAACATGGAGCTGTTCTTCAACAGCCCACAGGACTTCAGAAGCCACAAGCCCCTCCCCCTAAGTCCAGATCCTCTCAGTAATTCCCCTTTTCTCTTTCTGAAACTCCCTTCTTCTCTGGGATGTATCCTCCCTCTTCTGACTGAAGCCCCTCAGTCTCTCTTGATTTCCTAGCCTCCCTTTTAGCCTCTCATCTGTCCTGTGAATTTTAGTTGTTCTCCTCCTCTAGTTTCTCTTCTCTTAATGTGTCCCTTCTTGGGGTGTCCACCCCTTCTCTGACTGCCCCACCTTCTCTGTGAGTCCCCCTCTTCCCTTTCCCTGTCTCCTCTCTGTACCTCCTCTCCATCTGGACCTCTCACTGATCTGAGTTTCTTCCCCTCTCTGAGCCTATACTCACCTTGTACTTTAAGATCCAGGACATAAAGCGCTTGAGTAGGTTTGGCAGGCGGAGTGAGTTGATCATCGATTTTATGCTAGGGTCCACAATGTCCCCTTCTCTAAAGAACCAGGCATAAATTTGGTTCGCGAGAACCTTTCAGCCACCAGTTCACCCCCACTTCCCTCATAGACAAATCACAAAAGAGGTCAACACAAGGAAATTTACTATCTACACTCCTGAAAAGCATTCATGAGTAGGGAACTCAGTGCTTAAGGTCCAGAGCAGCCCACGGGTCCAGGACCTCACATTTAGCTCAGACCCCTCTCCCATCCTGTCTCCACCAGGCCCCTCCCCTGAGTCCCAACCAAGGACATACAGTTTCTGCAGAAGGGTGGCCCCTCCATCAGCATACAGACCCCCCATATATAGGTGCTTCATGGCATACTCTATACGAGGGATGGAAAAGGGGACGACCTAGGGACAAAGAAGCTGAGTCATGCTTGGAGCTCCTCTGACCTCACACTGTCACTCTATTCTCCTCTACATCCCAAGGGTTACTTTTTTTGCACCTCCTTCACCTCACATGACATGGAAGTTGTGCTGACCAATTTCTCCGTCAGGCCTACTCCCTCACCCACGCTCAGTAGTGCACCAGGATCACAGTTGTCTTTGTTCTCTGTGTCCTTTACTGGTTCAAGGCCTGCCAAGTGCTTAATGTGTATGAGTTCATTTCACCTTCACAGTCACCCCATCTTGTTTACATCCTGGGGACATCAATACACCCCAGAGACATCAAGAGACTGGCTCAAGATCATATAGTAGGTTTATAGCTAGCCAGCAATTTGCAAAGGAGGGTGGAATTGTTACAAGCCATGGGGTCCAAGGAGGACAGGGAGGGTTTGTGGTAGAGCACTCTCTACAGCCATTTGATGAAAGCAGCAGAGATTCAGGTTGCTCCTACCTCCATCCTACTCAGCCTTCTCCAGAAAGCTTAGAGGGAACACAGCAACCCAAACTCAGACATATCCTTCTTTCTCTCCAAGGAGGGTTGACTCAACTCAGTATTTTCTTACTAGTCCAACTTCTTCCCCTGCCACCCCACTGAGGTGAGTGAACCTACCTGGTGTCCTGCCTCCTGGAGCAGCTTGACGGTGAGCTGCACAGCCCTGGCCATACTAGGGGATGGCTGAGTGAAGCCATCTGTCTCATAGTAGCCAATTCTCAGGGGCTGAGTACTAGAGTACACCTGGAAGACACAAGAGTAGGGTGGAGTTCTGAAGAGATGTTGGGTTGTGGTTAGAGTGGCCTCACTTTAGGAGACAGACTTCTAGGCCAGGGTTTGGGTCACAATTTATGTACCAAGGGAAGAATCCTCGAAAGTCTTTCGGAGCTTTCCTATATTCTCTCCAGGCTCTAGATTCTCTGGAAAATTCTAGGAAATCAGAATGCCTGGAAATGGATAAATGGGTGATTGGACAGATGTTATACAGATTTCTGACTACATTGCTGCTATGCGCCTTTTAGTCAGAACCAACTCATAGCTGATCCTCCAGAGGGCTTTCAGAAGCTACAAATTGCACACAAAAAAATTGCCCATCTTTCTCCTACAGAGCATCTGGTGGATTCAAACCAAGTGCCTTGGGGTTGAAGCATAACTCCTTACCACTAGATCACCAGAGTTCCCTTCTGAATAGGTAGGTGGCTGTATAGATGAGATAGTGGATGAATGGTTGGTAGGTAGAGGGTTGAATATACAGCAAGATAAGTCGATAGAATGGATAAAGATGACTGGATAAACAAGTGATTGTTGTTGTTTGTGCTGTCCAGCCGTTTGTGACCCTGTGTACAACAGCCCTAAATCCTGCTCTACCCTGTGCCAATCACATTGCCTCTGACACACCCATCCTGATTACCCCAGTCACTGAATCAATCCACCTCATAGAGGGTCTTCCCATCCTGCACTGTCCCTTCACCCTCCCAAGCATGATGTCCCTCTCCAAGGACCTGTCTCTCCTTGCAACATGCCCAAAGTATGTCAGACGAAGCCCCAGAATCCTTGCCTCCAAGGAGTAGCTTGGTTTAACCCTCTCCAGGATGAATCTGTTTATTTTCTTGGCAGTCCATGGTACATTCAATACTGTTCTCCAGCACCACAGCTCAAAGGCATCAATTCTCCTTCTGTCCTCCCTAGTCATTGTCAAACTAGATATAAATATCTTTAAATTAAAAAACTATCAAGAGGAAATGGGGGGAAGAGAGAGAGAGAATGGGGATGGAGAGATCAATAGAAGCAAATGGTGATAACATACAAGGACAACAAACTGATTATGCGAGGATGGGTGTAGAGATTAAGATGACAAAATACTGTGCAATAGAGACACTTCTCGATGGCTCAAGATCTAGCTAGGGCTGGGTTCAAAGCCCAGCCCTGCAATTATAAGCTGTGCAATCAGAGGTGAGTATTTCACTTTCCCTCAGCTTCCTCCTCTACAAAATGTGAACAAAGACTCAAGCGGATGCTCATTCTATAGAACAAGTATTAGGATGACATACAAAGTGCCTAGCACATAATCCATCCACTGCCATAGAGTCGATTGTAACTCAATTCATCAAATTTCCAAGGCTGCTTTCTATGAAGATGACATTGAAAGAGAAAAAGGAAGCCCCTGTCCCTCTCAAAACTGAAGCCAAAGCAAAGGCATTAAAGGCCAAGAAGGCAGTCCTGAAGGGCGTCCATAGCCACAGAAAAAGAAGATCTACGCATCACATGCATTCCAGGGGTCTAAGATCCTGAAACTCTGAAGGCAGTCCAAATCCCCCTGGAAGAGCACCCCCCCCCCAGGAGGAACAAGCTTGACCACTATGCCATCATCAAGTTCCCCTGACCACTGAGTCAGCCATGAAGAGGATAGAAGATAACAACACACTTGTGTTTATTGTGGATGTCAAGGCCAACAAGCACCAAACCAAACTGTAAAGAAGCTCTGTAACACTGATGTGGCCATGGGCAACACCTTGATTAGGCCCGATAGGGAAAAGAATGCCTATGTTGTACTTGTTCCTGACTATGATTCTTTGGATGTTGCCAACAAAATTCAGATCATCTAAACTGAGTCCAGCTGGCTAATTCTAAATACAAATTTTTCTCACAAAAATAAATTTCCAAGGCCATAAATCTTTGCAGGCAGAGACTGACTATATTTCTTCTGCAAAGCACTTGGCAAATTTGAACTACGGACCTTTCAACCTAGTTCATAAGGCATTATGCCATCTAGGCTCCTTGCCTAACACATAAACTCCAGCACGTAGTGAAAAAACCCCCACTGGGGTCAAGTCAGTTTATAGCAATGCTTTGTCGGGTTTCCAAGGGTATAAATCTTAATGGGGGGGAGACTATTCCTCTTTCTCCTGAAAAGTAGATTCAAACTGCTGACCTTTTTGGCAGCCCAACACCTTACATACTATATACTACCAGAGCTCCTTTAGCACAAGTTGTTATTTGTCGTTGAGTTGACTCTGGCCCATAGTGACCCTGTGTACAAGAGATTGAAACTTTGCCCAGTTGTGTGCTATCTTCACAATCTCTGCTGTGTGGAGGCCCACTGTTGCAGTCACTGTCAGTTCATCTTGTTGTGGGCCTCCCTCTCCTTTGCCAGCCTCCTACCTCTCCAAGCCCTTTAGCACACACTTGGTGGCATTGTTAGTTACGAGTTGTGCTGCTAACTCAAAGGTTTATGTCTCTAGCAATTTGAATCTACTAGTCAATTGTTAGGAGAAAAATGGGCAATCTCCTCCCATGTGATTTACAGACACCAAGCTGCTGGGAGGGTCAAGCTATGAGTTGGTTCTGACTCAACAGCAATGAGTTTGAATTTGAGGGGTTTTTTTTGGATACTAATAAATGGTTATGAATAAGTGAATGAGCGAAGACAGGAGGATATTGAAAGACATGGAATAATTTTCCTCTTTTATTGATTGAGACCTGTTGTTGTTGTTAGGTGCTATTGAGTGTATAACCAACCAACCTGAACCTTGCCCTGTCCCAGAATTACATGTCAGTTTAACTAGGAGCTCTGGTGGTCTAGTAATAAAAGGAGCTGCACCGTCATACCAAAGGCTTACATGGTTCAAATACACCAGGTGCTCCACGAAAGAAGAATGAGCAGTCTCCTCCTATGTGAACGATTGCCTCTGAAAACCCACTGAGGGTCAGCCAACAACAACAAAGCTCTCTGAATACTAAGTATTCTGCTTGTGTATGTTAAGTATGTGATGCTGAGTCCTCCTTTGGGGACAGTTACAGTTATAATTTCAAATGGCACAACTTAGGTGCACAACAGTTAACAACCTATTAACAACCTATAGGTTTGGGAGATAAACATGACTAGGCTCTTCTCAACCACTGAATCTTGGGGTGAGAAAGATGGTTTTCACAGGGATTGGTCAAAAGCACAGACTGGTTAATAGGGTGTGATGGGAGAAGAAGAGAGGAGCCCCCAGCTCTGTGCCCGCATCAAGCTCACCTCCTCCCTGAAGGGCATGGAGGGTACAGTGGGGTCCAGATGATGCATGTCCTTACTCAGCAGGGCTTTGAGGCACAGCACCAGGCTTTCCACATCCCGAGCCATGGGGCCAGCCACCGTGACCACTGGAAGAGACGAAGGGAGGGAGGCTGACTTCTTATTCTTCTGCCCTGGAAAACCCCAATATCTGACCTATGAAAGTAGAATCCAGAACCATGACCAGGGCCAGTGAAAGATATCCTGATGCCATCTTGGGTCAGAAATTGATGATAAGTAGGATTAATAGACTGGCGATAGCAGCTCTGGTGTCTGAGAGAAGACGCTTGTCTAGGGCAGAGCTTCAAAAGAACAGTGGGACAGATTAAAGTTAGCTAGCAGGAAACATTTCTTAGTAGGGCAAGATCACTGAATAAGTAGAGGTGGGAGATCATGCAGTCCCTTCCCAGTACCTTCATCAGTAAGAGAGTTAAGTTGTCTGGAGTTGAGATCTGAGTGAAATCTCTTTTGAAGAAGATCCATCAGACCCAACTTTGACTAGGCATTGCTTCCAGAACAGACACTTACCTGTTTTCTTGCCCTTGACCACAGAGGAAACTCCACTGTAACTGCAAAACCCCACCCATCCAGAGTCCACCTCAGTATCTGGGTGCCAACAGGCTTGAGTATACAATAATAACATACTCCCCAAGACCCAGCACCCAGGACCAGGGGTTGCCTCAACCCTTCCATGACTGCTACTCTGATCTCTTTGACTATCCTTTCAAGATACAAGTAAAGGTTAATTTATCTTCTCATAGCTTTTAACAAAACTCTATTGAAGAAAATCCCAGCTTAATCCCACGAGTTCCCCAAAATGTTGAGTGTTCTAGAGCCCAAATCAAATTCTGCTTAAGTCATTTGGGTGTCTAAGAGAACAACAGGGCCAGGGGCTGGGTCTAGTGTCTCTGTTATGTCCAGTACAAGTAATCACCGCAATGTGGAGCCTCAGAGTATTTTTGAAATATAGGTGGATGACTAGAAAGATACATAGATAAAGAGATGGGTAGGAAGACAGACAGATGTATGAAGAAAGGAATGAAAAGAAAAATGTATAGCTTTTCGAGAGTTGAGTCATTTGTCCATTTTGCTCATGGATGTATCCCAAGAAAATAGCCCAGCATCTAGAACAGATTGAGCTTTCAATGAATATTTGATAAATAAATGAAATTATGGATGGATAGTCAAATTGATAATGGATACAGATGAGTTGATGACTGTATGAGTGAGTGGATGAATAGATAGAGAATTGGATAAACAGAGAGTGGTGGATAAGTGAGTAAGGGATAGAATAGGTAGATGGGCAGATGTATGTATATATGAATGAAGAAAGGATGATTTAATGAATGAATTCAAGATTTATTCTACTACTACTTGTACCAAACATAAAATGCTTAACTGTGATGAAGAAAAGAGCTGTTCTGAAGCCTTCTTACCTCCACCTAGTCCTCTATTACTGAGCCAGGTAGATGGGAGATGATGGATGGAGCACATCCTCTACTTCCCTAGACCCCTGGTTTCTCTAGACTGAGCCGAGCCCACCCCCAGTTCACCACCACTGAGTACCTGAGGCGATATCCTGTAGTCCGAAGGCCATAGATGCCACAGAAGCTGGCCGGCAGGCGGATGCTGCCACCTGTGTCAGTACCCATGCCTAGAATGGACCCTTTCTTTGCCAGTAGAACTCCCTCACCCCCTGAAGAGCCCCCAGGTGTCTTCTTTAAGTTCAAGGGATTCAAAGTCTGGCCATAGATAGGGTTGCTGCAGTCAAAGCTGAAAGAAGAAGGGGTTGCGAAGTGTAAGGTTTTACAGGAGCACAACAATTCCTCCTCATGCAGACAGTGACCTCCTCCCCCAACTCAGGAGTCAGGCATAAGGATGCTTTGTCTCTGGAGGTTCCATGATTTCCTCCTTGATCACTTATCCTACTGGATTAAGGGTCACTCTTTCAGGAACAATCAAGCCTAAACATTAACCACAACAAGGAGTCCATTTCTCTGTTGTCAGAATTGAGAACAGATTCTTCAGAAAAATAAATTAACTGAAGGCAGAGAAGAGAGAACAGGGAGTAGAAGATGAGACTGGAGAGAGAGGTCAGTGGGGAAAAAAAGGAGAGAGATGTAAACCTTTCAGAACCTCAGAGCCTGAAGGGATTTTAGAGAGCATGGAGTCTACCCACACATCTTAAAAATGGGAAACCAAGATTCAGAGGGTAAAAGGGACTTGTCCAAGAATCTCAGTCCTTGAGATCTTTAGGACTGGCTTCTACCTCACCCTCTACCCTCAATCTGAGAATTTAAAGCTATATGTACTCTGGGCCCAGTCTCAGTCTCAGTCCCAGCCCTGAGTCTGCCCACATCAGAGACCTGAGTAATGTCTGGGGGATGTTGGTTTTCACAAAGGGAATGGCTCCCTGGGCCTTCAAGATTTTCACAATGACGGCATCTTCAGTAGCTGGCTTCTCCAGGAACTGGGAAATGCCACATGTAGAGTCATGGCCCTACAAGGAAAGAGAGATTACTTCTAGGCTATGGAAGTCAGGGTAGACTCCTCAGCCTGTAAGCTCTGATCTCTACTCTACCACTACTCACATATATTGACTTCTCTTCTGACACAAAAGCACTGCACATGTAGGAGGCTTCACCGGTGGCAAATACCAAGGCAGCTAAGAGCTTGGGTTTCAAATCCCGGTGCTGTCACTTTATAGCCATGAAGCATTGATTAAGCAATTTGCCCAATGTTATACACTCAGACACTCACAGGCTCAGTGGCAAATGGTGTGCACACACATACACACATGTGCGTATACACTTCAGAGCTTACCATGCAGTCATAAGGGTCCTTGAGGCTCATAGGTACCCCATAGAGGGGGCCTCTCTCATACTTCTTGAGCTTCTTCAGTTCCTGAAGTTGCTTCTCACATTCTTCCAAGAAATCTGTCAGGCAGTTCGTTTCCTGGTGGACCTGCAGTGCCTGAGCACATGAAGGGAAGGAACTCAGATGAGGAGCCCAAGATAAGCACAGTACCAGGGCTCCTCCCACCGTCTGGATTCAGAAGAGAATATATAGATGACTGCAACTTGCTCCCACATTCACCTGGCTGTAACACACAGCTCTGTGTAGGACAGGCAGCATCTCCCATCCCATTCCAGAGTTCCAGGTTTGAGTTTTGTCCTCTGACACCCACCTTCTCCAAGTAGGCACCGAGGACACTCTCAAGGCTCAATTCTTCATTCCGAAGCTTCTCGGCCAGTATCACCAGGGGCAGCTCCAGAATGGGCTTGGGGTCTAGGTCTGGCTCCTATGGAAATGAGGCAGATACCAAAGACCCATCATAAAACACTGGACACCATCCATGCCTTTGGACATAGATTTAGAAATATGCCCAGTTTCTATGTACTTCCTTGTTATCGTTATGTGTTGTCAAGTCAGAAGCAATTCATAACTGACCCATGGCTTCTCAGAGGCTCTAAATCACAAGGGAGGAGAGTGTCCATCTATTATCCCTGCTTAGTCTCTAGTTGCATGAAAATCCTCGGGGACAGATGTGTTTTCCCTATATCTGCCTCTCTAGTACCAGCCCAAGGCCTTACAATGAAGAGAGTCTGTCCTCAGGGAGCTCTGGTGGCCTAGTGGCAAGAAGGTGCACTGCAATCACAGAGATATGCGGTTCGAATCCACCAGATGCTCTGCTGGAGGATGGGCAATCTCCTCCTGTGCCAGTCAGATCCAATTTGATGGAACACGCACACACAAATAATATAAAACTTTAAAAATAATAAAAATTAAAAAGAGAGTCTGTCCTTTCATGTTGCTATTCAGAGAGGACATCACTGGGGTGAGAGTGGCTCTAGAAACAACATTCTAGAATGCAGCAGTTATGGGAAGTGAGGTCCAGCTTTGAATGACATTTTTGCCTCTAGGGCTCATCTCTAGGCAACCCATCATGCTTTCCTATCCAATCCTTCCACCCTGGCTGATCTGGACAAGAGGGCAGTATGCATGTCAGGAATTCAGGGATCCAGTTCCAATCTGATAGATAACCCAGAAAAGCCCTTCCCGTCCATGGCCTGTATTCTCTCAAACATAAAAGGACTAGAACTTCCGCATGGCCAAGTGCCTCAGTAACTCTGAGATCTTCAGTGAGTGAGGTCAGGGCTGACAGGAAAAGTGAGTCCAGGGCAGTGATTTCTTTCCTGTAATTCCTTCCCTCGCTCACTTTTCTGTGTCCTTCCTCTTCAGCCTTGGTTGAGACCCCGGCCTCATCAAACTTAAGTGTGGTTGAGTGAGAAAAGCATGAGTGAGTCTTCTAGGTCCTGAGGGGTAGGAGCGGGAAATGAAGAAATTTCCTTGAGAGACTAAGGATGATTCTGTCTGGTTTCTGCTCCTTCTCCACTCCCTGGAGTCACTCCTGGCCTATGTCCTCAAGGCTTCTTGGTTAAGTCTCTTGGATTTCTCAACTCTCTTTCTTAATAGCATCTGACTTTCAGAAACCCTCTCCTGGAAACTTCATCTACCCCTGACTCTCCTGGTTTCCTCCTGTACTCAGATGGCTCCATCTCAGTTTCCTCTGCCCCCATAAATGTTGGGATTTCATGGAAGTTGACCTAGGTTCTCCTCTCCTTTACCAGCCCACGATGTTGTTGTTGTTGTTATGTGCTGTCGAGTAGCTTGCAACTCATAGCGACCCTATGTACAACAGACCTAAAATCTGCTCTGTCTTGTGCCAGTCGCACTGTCTCTGATACACCCATCCTGATTACCCCAGTCACTGAATCAATCCACCTCACAGAGGGCCTTCCCCTCCTGCGCTGTCCCTCTACCCTACCAAGCATGATGTCCTTCTCCAAGGACCGGTCTCTCCTTACAACATGTCCAAAGTATGTCAGACGAAGCCCCAGAATCCTTGCCTCCAAGGAGCCGCCCAGTTTAACCCTCTCCAGGATGAATCCTACTTGGGTGAATTCAGCAGTCAGATAAGCCTGAGGATTCCCAAATCATCCTTTTCTCCTACCCAGGCCTCTACTCTGAGCTCAGACCCACTTACACACCCACATAGCCACAGACATCCTGAGTCTTATGGAGTATTTTCTGCCAAACCTGTTCATCTTGAAATTCCCAACTGACACTCATGTCATTCTAAATCCTTTGCTCATATCTGAGATCTGATAACTGTCACAAAAGTAAATGTTTAAATTATATATAAGGAATATTACAACACTTAATATGTGCCAGGCCCCATTAAAAATATTTACATATAATTTGTATTACTCCTGACAGCAACCCTGTGAGGTAGATCTTATTATTCCCCATATTTTACAGTAATGATCTTTTGCATTCTTCATGGAAAATTTTCTTGATATCCTCCCAGAGCTCATTTGGTCTACGCTCATTGGTGCTCAAGGCCTCAAACCTGTTCCTGAGATGGTTTTGAAATTCGAGTGGGACAGACTTAAGGTCAAATCTTGATTCCCGTGGACTTAATTTTCCTCAACTTCAGCTTGAATTTGCAGATGAGTAGTTGGTGGTCTGTCCCACAATAAGCACCCGGCCTGGTTTTCACTGCTGATATTGAGCTTCTCCAGCGAATCTTTCCACAAATGTAATCTATTTTATTCCTATGCATACCATCAGGTGAAATCCACGTGAATAGCCTGTGTTTATGTTTCTTATAAAAGGTATTTGCAATGAATAAATCATTGAATGTGCAGAACTCTATCATTCTACCTTCAGCCTCATTTCTCTCTCTGAGCCCAGGTTTTCCAGCTACTGATCCTTATTCCTTATTCCCAACTTTTGCGTTCCAGTCGCCCATTATTATAATGCATCTTGATTGCATGTTTGATCAGTTTCTGACTGCAAAAGTTGGTAAAAATCTTCCATTTCCTCCCCTTTGGCTCTAGTTGTTGGTGCATATATTTGAATGATAGTGGTATTCACTGGACTTCCTTGTATGCGTGTGGATATTATCCTTTCACTCACCAAATTGTATTTCAGGACATATCTAGAAATGAATTTTTTAATTATGAAACAATCCCATTTTTTCACCTTTTCATCTCCAGCATAGTAAATCATATAGTCATCTGATTCAAAATGACCCATGCCAAGCCATCTCATTTCGCCAGTACCTAGTATGTCAATATTTATGTGTTCCATTTCTTTCTTATCAATGTCCAATTTTCCTACATTCATGCTTTTCACATTCCACGTTCCAATCACTAGTGTCTCCTTATAGCTGTTTCTCCTTCTCTGTGTTTCTATCTCTAAGATCTCAGTTTCAATTGCCATGTCTGTTAGTCCAAATGATAATCTAAGTGTGCTCTATTGTATATAGGGTTTTTGAAAGCCTGTGATTTCAGAAGTGGATGGCCAATCATTCTTCCTAGTCTGTCTCGATTTTTAAATATATATATAATAGTATCTGACAGACAAGCATTCTACAGAAAAGAGTAGATGAAAGACATTTACCAGTTAAAATGTTGCTGCCCACCCAGCTACATGTTTGGTTGGTTTTGGGTGTTTTGTTTTTGTTTTTGGTGGTTTTTTTAAAATCTACCCTTTCCCTACTCCACCACCAACCCTTCCTACTACAACCCTTCCCTTACCTTTTACAGTAGATGAAAACACTGAGACATGGATAATAATTTGTCCAGTGAAACGCTGCTTTGTAAATGGCAGATCCTCGACTCGACCCAGGCAACATGGACTCAGAGGTATGTACTTCCTACTGTGGATTGAATTGTGCCTCCTAAACTATGTGTTAGAGTCTCAACCTCTTTTATATGTGAAACTAGAAGCCCCAGTGGTGCAGTGGCTAAGTGCTCAGTTAGTACCTGAAAGGTTAGTAACTTCAAAGCTTACCAGCTGCTCCATAGGAGAAAGATGCAGCTCCCTCTCCCCTTTCTAATAACATTTTCAATAGTCACTCAAAGGATCAAGTATTTAGAAGTAAATCTAACCAAAGGTACAGGAGAACTATGTAAAGAAAATTACAGAATACTACTATGAAAAACCCAAAGAAATTTATATAAATGAAAGATTATACCACACTCATGGATTGAATTTTTTATTTCTTTTTTTTAGGTATATGTTTTTTAATTGAGATTTTAATGAAAGTTTATAGAGAACTTGGATATCCATTTATTCATTGTTGCACATTTTCCTCCCTGCCCACCTTCCCCCCCAAGTCAACTAACCCCTTAAAAAAGAAAAAAAAATCTTTCATTGTTATACAATCTCCCCCAGTCCACTTTACTATACAGCTCTTATTCTAGACTCTTGTCATGCAAATAATACCTAATCATATATTTCTTTAAATATTTCTCTCCCTCATTTGTTTCAATGTAGTGTACATTATTTATCCCCTCTTTTCTTAGTTTCTCCTCAAACCCGATATCAGTCCTGTTTTATAACAGTGGTATTGTGCAGTATTTGTCCTTTTGTGACTGAAATATTTCACATAACATAATTTCCTCCAGGACCACCCATTTTGTATAATATTTCATGAGTTTCTTGTTTTTCTATGCTGCATAGTATTCCATTATGTGAATATACCACAGCTTCTCTATTCATTCATTTGTTGATGTGTACTTAGATTGTTTCCAACTCTTTGCTCTTGTAAACAATGCAGAAATAAACACGGATGTGCATATACCTGCTTGGGTGCCAGTTCTGGTTTCTTTGGGGTTGTTGTTGTTGTTATGTGCCATCGAGTCACTTGCAACTCATAGCGACCCTATGTACAACAGCCTTAAATCCACTCTGTCCTGTGCCAATTGCACCATCTCTGATACACCCATCCCAATTATCCCAGTCACTGAATCAATCCACCTCATAGAGGACCTTCCCCTCCTGCTCTGTCCCTCCACCCTACCAAGCTTGATGTCCCTCTCCAAGGACTGGTCCCTCCTTACAACATGTCCAAAATATGTTAGACGGAGCCTCAGAATCCTTGCCTCCAAGGAGCCACCCGGTTTGACCCTTTCCAGGATGAATCTGTTTGTTTTCCTAGCAGTCCATGGTACCCTCAATACTCTTCTCCAGCACCACAGCTCAAAGGCATCAATTCTCCTTCTATCCTCCTTAGTCATTGTCCAGCTCTCTGATGCATAACAAGTGATTGCAAAGACCATGGCCTGTATCAGATGCACCTTAGTCTCCAGAGAGACACCATTGCTCTTCAGTACTTTGGAGAGGTCCTTAACAGCAGGATTGGAATTTTTAACATTGTAAAAATGATGATACTACCAAAAGTGATCTACAGATACAATTAAATACCAATCCAGATCCCATCACCATTCTTTAATGAGATGGAAAGTAACCACTACTTTATGTGGAAAGGAAAGAGACCTCAGTTAAGCTAAGTGCTACTGATGAAGAAAATGAGGTCTTAATATTTCCTGTTCTCAAAACCTACTACACAGCACATTAATCAGAATAACTTGGTACTGGAACAGCAACAGATAAATAGACCAAGAGGATAGAATTGAGAAGCCAGAAACAAATTAATTCACTTATGGACAAATGATCTTTGGCAAAGAGGTGTGAAAGGAAGACAACCTTTTAAACAAATGGTGCTGTTAAATTGGATATCTATGTGCAGAACATTGAAACAAGATCCATACCTCACACTATATACAAAACTCAAGATGGACCATGGACCTTAGCATAAAATATAAACTTATAAAGATTATTAAAGAAAAAAATGAGGTGAATGTAGGAGTTCCAATCAATAGCATGAATAGACTTTTAAACAACTGAACATGCACAATCAGCAGGAAAATCTAGGTAATTGGGATCTCCTCAAAATGAAATTCTATGTGCATTGGAAGAGTTCCCCGAGAATGAAAAGAGAACCTATTGGTTTGGCAATGACATGTCTAACAATAGAACACATCTCAAAAAGTTACAGAATACAAGAAACAACTCAAGAAAAAGACAAACAGCCTACTTACAAAACAGGTAGGGGACATGAAGAGATGCTTCACCAAAGAAAATGTTCAATAACCAACAAACATGAAAAAAGGTTGAAGATAATTTTTCACCTCAGTTGCTCAACTCACTGCTGTTGAGTCAGTTCCAGTTTATTTCTAGCCTCCATCAACTTTCACAAGAGGGGATTTTCCATCTGCTACCAAAGTTGCTGCAGGTAGATTTGAATTGCCACAGATGTGCAGCCTTCGAGTTAGCAGCACACCTGGCCACAGTCTTTACCACTATGATTGTTGTTGTTGTTATTGTTGTTGTGTGTACCACTGAGTCAGAACTGACTCAAAGCTGACCCTCCAATGGGTTTTCAGAAACAGGAAATGATGTGGCAGAAACTCCCCATCTTTCTTTCTCAGAGCAGCTGGTAGATTCCAATCATGTACCTTTGAGTTGGCAGTGCAACTCCTTGTCTCTAAGACACACCAGAGCTCCCAAATTAGTTATTATTGTTGTTGCTGTTGCTAGGTGCTGTTGAGTTGAGTACCACTCATAGCGACCCTATGAATGAAAGATCTGAACCCTGTTCTATCCTGTGCCATCCTCACACTTCCTGACACACAGGAAGAGCCCATTGTGGCAGTCACTACATCAGTCCACCTGGTTGAGGGTCTTCCTCTCCTTAGCTGACCCTTCACCCTTCCCATCATCATGTCCCTCTCCAAGGAATCGCCCCTCCTAGCAACACGCCAAAATATATGAGACAAAGCCTCATCATTCTTGCCTCCAAAGAGCACTCCGGCTGCACCCTGTCTCAAAGACATAATTAGCTATTAGATAGATGCAAATCAAAACAATGAGATATCATCTCACCTCAGCAATAATAACAGAGTTCAATAAATTTTTGGCAACAGTGTGGAGATGTTGGAACTCTCGTATACTGCTGGTGGAATGTAAAATGGTAAACACTATGGAAAGCTATTTAGTACTGCCTTCGAATGCTGTCAATAGAAATACCATTTTTATTCAGCAATCTCACTACTAGGGTTAGATCTCAAAGAAATAGGAGATGTCACTGGAACAGATAGATGCACAACAGTTTTATTAACAATAACAAAGAGATGGAAACAACCCATTTGTCCGT